TTCCTCTGGAAAGGTGTGTTTTGCTAGGAAATGTTTCCCATTCCACTGCTCCAGGTAACCTTTCCAAGCACTGCACAGCCCTAATGGAAACTATTCCATCCTCCCTAACTCCCTGTCAGCACTTTGGGCTGTTTGTAGTGAGACTTTCTCATCCTTCCCTTTGTTCTGGTGTGACATCCACATGCATGGAAGGACAAAACATGGCTCATAGATAGGAAAATGTGACTCCAAAGCTTCTGAAAGAGCCAGTGGGAGTTAGAGTCATGGAATTTTATTTGGCTTTGTGTTGCAGCTTGATCCTGCAACCTGTTTATTGTGCTCTGTCAGTGCTTCCACACATTTGCTGTCATCTTATAGTGCTTGAGGTTTGCAGTGTGGATTCTTTTTGTGACTCTGTGCATGTTTTACCTTCCCAGGAGGTCCCACCTGGCTATGAGAGCCCAAGATGGATCCAGAAGAGCAGGATTTGCTTGGTGATTACAGATACAGGAATTACTCTTCAGCCATTGAGAAAGCTTTGAGGAACTTTGAATCATCAAGCGAATGGGCTGATCTTATATCTTCCCTGGGCAAACTCAATAAGGTACAGTGTCACAGGAGTATTTTGTCATTTGGTGATTGTGTTTGTGTTGTTATTAACTTCCCTGGAGCTTGGAAAAAATGTGAGTTCACTCAAGGAAAATACTAGTTTGTAAAGAAAAGGGAATGGAAGAGGCTAAGTCAGTATCTGTTATTAAATGTGAGACATTCTGGTGAAACTCAGAGCTTTCCCTCAAATGGTTATTTGTTTCCTTTATACACCTAAGTGAGTTGAACTCTTGCATCAAAGCCACCCTCAGGATGCTGCTGGTTACTCCCTCTAGAGCAGCTGAAGCTTTCATACAAAGCAGGAGGTCACAAGTTGTAGAGTATTTTCTTAGTCAAAGCTTATATTTAAAGATCACATGTACCTGACCATGTCCTTCCCTTGGGTTTGGGGAAGTAATTGATTCACTTGATTTGCTGCTGGTGGTGATGACCTTTGTGTGTCTATGGAGTGGAGAGAGAAAGAGAGAGACACAGGGAGAAAGAGTAATTTTTATGGAAAACACTTAGGAACTGTGCCTTCTCCTCCTGCCCAGGAAACAAGGAGCATGTTTGATGTGTCCCATTTGATCTCTCTGAACATAAAACTCTCCTTAGTGTACTTGGGACAAGAGTGGTTACAGGGACTAAGGAAATAGGGGCAGGAGGAGGCAACTCCTGCAGAATCCCAAAGGAAACAGCTGTTATTTCCTGATAGATGCCTCTGCTGCCTTTGCTAAACCTTAATTCTACAGAGTTTACAAAGGGAAGGAGAATGCACAGAACTGTAGAGTTACAGAATAGCTCAAGTTGGAAGGGAATAATAAGAATCATCACGTCCAACTCCCTTCTCCTCATGGGATACCTAGAACTAAACCAAGAGTGTCATCCAAACACTCCCCTGGAGCTCTGTCAGCCTTGGGGCTGTGCCCACTGCCCTGGGGAGCTGTTCAGTGCCCAAACACCTCTGGGGGAAGAACCTCTGCCTTATGTAAGGCAGTTGTTCAGTCAGTGTGTGCTGGACTTGTCTAGCTGTGCTGGACAGGTTACCCACAAGGATATTGTGAGACACAGTAGCAAAAGCTTTGCTGAAATCCCAAATTGAGCCGACATTTACCACATTGAGTTTTTTTTAAGGGCACTCATGTTTTTTCCCTCTTTAGAGGTGAGAACTGAGTGTTGCTCTGGAACAGGAGTTACCCATTTCTGCCTTCAGTGTTTCATCATGATTCCTGTGCAGGCAAGAGCCAGAGGCCTTCAAAATGCTCTTTCCAACAGGGAAAATATGAAATAATTAGAGTGAGAGGGAAGCTTTGATCTTTTATCCTGACCTAGATGAGCACACTGAACTGCTCAACACCTATCTGCAACTCTTACTGAGGTACAGAGTCACCAGCATATGTAGCAGCATAGTAGAAACCAAGGGAAGAAAGCTTTTAGCTGATCCATCAGTCCATCTGCTGTGGGATTTCATGGGCTTAATCCTTTTAGGAGCTTAAGAACTGGGAGAGTAAATCATTCCCAGTGTTCATGTGTGTCTGTTACCTGAAAATGGGGGAATGTGTTGCCAAAAGGAAGACTGAAATGAGGTGTCAGCAACTATTCTCTTAACTCCTGTGATTCCCTGGTCTCTTACATCCTAAGTTGTAAATGTTGTTGAGTTTTATCTGTGCTGGGAGAAGTGTTTCCAGCACAACAAACAGATTTCTGCTGCAGGCAGTCCTGGAGGGGAATGGCTGAGCAGGAGGGAGATCAGCAGCATCTCAGTGATACAAGTGTTTCCAAACACTCCCCGTGGCTCTCTGGGTGTCACCAGCTGCTGTGCTGGTGTTACTGAGCACGGGGAAAAATGCTGAGAAAGGCAAGGAGGAAGTCGAGGAGTTCTTTTCCTGCTTCTAGAGGAGCCTGGAAGATATTTTTTCCTAAATATTACACCTGTTTTCTGAGGCTTTTTCTCCTGTAGGCATTATTGAGACTCACACGCTCTCTCATTGCTGTAGAAGCTCAGTGTCATCACCCCTTCAGGTATTCCAAGGGCTGGAGACAGCAACACAGCTTCTTGCTCCTTGGGGATGAGGTGAAAGAACCGAGGGAGCTGCTCTGGATCCCTTTGGCCATGACTGGAACAAGTCATCTTGGAGCTGGTGGTGAAGAGAGGTGACTCTGTTCCTTCTCTCTCTTACAACTTATCTTCCAAGGGTGAACTGGAGGTTGTTTTCCAGTTTCTCTCTTGCTTCTGTGGTTTTAAAAGATGTTTCCTGTTGACTTGTAGAATGATTTAGGTGGGAAAAGACCTCCGAGCTCATCAAGTGGAACCTTTGACCGATCACAGAGGAACTGAGTGACTTGAATCTGAATTTGGCTCAGCCAAAGGGGTCAGTTTGTAGATCTAGAAAGATTCTTTTTTGTCACTTAAGGGAGTGACTTATCCAACTTGACATGACTTCAGCACACACAGCTTCACCTTGAATTGCTTCTAGACAGGGAGAAGTTTAAGGGGGTTTAGCTTTTGGGTTGGTGACTCATCTCTTGCTGTTTAAAGTAGGTCAGATGAACATTGTCCTGAAATGGTGCGTGTTCCTCACTGGATGTAGAGGGAGCTTGAGGTGAGTTGCTGAAGCTGTGTCCATGGTTTTTTGGCAGATTTGAGCTGCTCAGGTCAGGAAACATGAAGATGCATATGTATACATCATGGTGGGGAAGAAGAAACAGTGGAAAGTGATGTTTATATATCAGAATATCAATGGGCAGATGCAAACAGGTGGATGAAACAGGCAGGAAATGTGGTTGTTAATGTTTTAAAGAGGGTTTCAGCTACACTTTCAGTCATTACTTTCATATTCTGATTTTAAAATTTCTGGGGTGGAGAGATACTGCCTTTTTCAACCTAGAAAGAGGTGGTGGTTCAGCCTAGGTGGATTTAGCAGTGAAAGAGGTGCTTTTAACGTGGTTTTCATGTCACAAATCCCTGTCAGTACATCAGTTCTTGTCCTAAATTAGTCTCATTTGCTGCAAGTTAGACATAGGAAGGTTTCAGAGTTACCCAGGAGAAAGAGTTAAAGCTGATTTATCCCTGAATATCCACTAACTCCTGGACAGAGTTGGGATTGTTCAGCCTGGAGAAGAGAAGCTTCAGGATGAGATAATTGTGAGTTTCCAGTACCTGTTTCACTCAGTTCCTCTGTGATCGGTCAAAGGTTCCACTTGATGAGCTCGGAGGTCTTTTCCCACCTAAATCATTCTACAAGTCAACAGGAAACATCTTTTAAAACCACAGAAGCAAGAGAGAAACTGGAAAACAACCTCCAGTTCACCCTTGGAAGATAAGTTGTAAGAGAGAGAAGGAACAGAGTCACCTCTCTTCACCACCAGCTCCAAGGGAGCTACAGGAAAGATGGAGAGAGACTATTGACAAGGGCCTGGAGGGGCAGGACAAGGGAATAGCTGCAAACTGCCAGAGGGCAGAGTTAGATGGGATACTGGGAAATTGCTCCCTGTGAGGTGCTGAGGCACTGGCACAGGTTGCCCAGAGCAGCTTTGGCTGCTCCATCCCTGAGAGTGTTCCAGGCCAGGTTGGATGGGGCTTGGAGCAGCCTGGGCTGGTGGGAGGTGTCCCTGCCCACGGACTGTATGATTTTTAAGGTGGTTTCAACCCAAACCATTCTGTGAGTCTGTGATTCCAAATGTTTTCCCCACTCTTTGGTGAAGGGCAGCTCTTATTTGATGATGGAAATTTACTTCACATCCTTAGGAGATGAGATTAGCCCAACAGGACATTTTATGGTGTTTCCATAATGCATCAGATTTTCTGTGTAATAACCAGCAAATGTTTTAATCTTCTGCCTAATTGCTATTTCAGTTTTAACTGCTGGATTATGAAGTTGGTATTTATTCCTCACTCTGAAGGCTGAGGAAAAATATTTACCATTTGCATAGGGTGTTGGGGGTTTTTTTTGTAATTAACCTCTTTTATATATACAGAGGGTGTGGGCAAATACATACCAGGATATATAAATAGAACATTTCAAAGTCCAACTTGCAAATTATCTTGGAAGTTGTAACAGTTATTAAGGATTTCAATCTTTAGCATCAAAATAATATCCATTATGGAATATGTGGGTCAATATCTTCAAGATATAAACAAGGTAATTCCACAATTAAATCCTGGTTTAGGTTGTGTGTGGAATGTTGCCAGATTCTGGTTTTATTACCCATTAAAATGCTGATTTGCTCATCCTGGGGGAGGGCAGGAAGGCAATGAATTGGCTCTAAGTGACAGCTGTCTATCAGGATGGAGTGACAGCTCTATTTACTGTTGTTACAAGCTCTCAGGCTTTTCCTTGTTGAGCCAATTTTATTCCTAGAAGCTTTTTTCCTAACAGCTGATCAGGGCAGAAACATCTCAGTTGTAGCCTCACAGACCCCAACTGCAAAGTCTCCCTGAGTTCCACACACCTTTGACAGGTGA